AAAAAAAAAAAAACATCCACTCATTCCCAAAAAAAATTCTACCCCATCTTATTTAACCCTCCACTCCTAATTTATTTATTTATTTTACAGTTTTCTCATTTTGTGTTATATATGTACATATATTTTCAGAAAAAAATTTCTACTTGTGTACCGTATATAACATAAATAAAAATTTTATTTTAAAAAAGTCTTGCGACGCAAGTAACAAATATTTTTGATATATATATATAGCTATATCTAACACAAAACGAGAAAACATTTTGGAAGCGAAGGGTTATGTGGACTAGTGGATAAACTTATTTTTAAAAAATAAAACAATATCTAAATAGTATTTGAAGGGGGGGGGGGTGAGAGGAAGAAAGATATTTTACTTTTTTATTTTATAAAAAAATATTGTTTTTTTGGGATAATAATTTTAATCTTTAATTTTAACTAATATTAATAATTTATTTATTTATTGTCAAAGTGAAATGTTTTGTCCATGTGGAGTGTTAGATAAGTTTTTAAAATAAAAGAGAGAGTGTATTACACACACAATGATGAGAGTGGTATAAAAGAGAGATTTGTGTTTCTCAAACTAATAAGTGATAGTTTAGGTATGAAACTCACACTCTCAATAGTTTAGATATGAAACTAAAAAAAGATGTATAGTTTAGGTGTGTTTCTGAAACTTATCTCTTTTTTTATTTCAATTTCTCAAAGTTTTTAAAAATAAAAGTATTTAGAACTTTGAATTAAATTACTTAAAACTTTAGATTGATAAATAAAGTGTTTTAGAACAAGATCTAACAAAATATATTGGAAATACATGACAAAAACATTTTAAATCTTAATTAATTTACTAATATAAATAAATATTACTCTCTTTGTTCCAATTTATCTGATACCCAAAACAAATATTAACTATTTTTCAATGTAGTTGATATAGAGGAGTACACAAAATCATTATGTTTGTTTTACTTTGACTTATTTTTAAATATAAATAAATAAGAAAATATAAAAATACTACTTATTATCAAATTGAGTGAAAGTATTGAACTTACTTTGAAAAATAATAATAACTAATCATCCCATCCATGTTACTTCTCCAAATTTATTGATAATCTATCAAATCAAATGAATTATTCATATGATTTCCAGTTATAATTTTAATTCAATCATTTTGCAAAATTAAATGAGAAAAAGCTAAATTAATAATTAAAATTGCGTGATAGAAAATTTTCAAATTCCCGCCAAAATTTAAGTCCTTTTATATTCATCTCTTGGTTTTCATTCTCCATTCACTCTTTCTTCAGCTGCAGTTTTTGATTTTTATGTTCCGTGGGAAAGCATGATAATAATTTATGTACTTAAGATAAATCTCTCTTTTCTTATTGCTTCGTGAATTATATTTGTCCTTCTTTCCTGTCTACGATTGCCCTCATTATGTTGCAAACTATTATATAACATGTTATCTGAATCAACTTATATATGATTGGTTTCTTTTAAATATGTTCTAATTCTAATCTTATTCCTATTGAGAATTTTTTTATGTTTATTATTAATAAAAAGCCACTAAACCACTGTCTAGTGGTATAAATTTGCTTAAAAAAAAGACATTAGAAGTGTTTGTTAGCTAGCTTAAAGCTGAATTCAAAGTGGTCCTTAAGAAAATTATTCTCGTTAAATATCTAAGATAATGAAATATATCCTTTCAGGATAGAATAATTTTTTTTAAAATAAATTCAAAATCAAAATCAAGAAAAAATTGAGTTAATTTGACATTTGAATTGATTTGTAATTGTCACGATCCAACCTACCGGGCCGTGCGGGCACCTACATACTAACACCTAAGTAGGAGAACCCTCATATCCCATTAGTCAAAACATGCGGAAAGTTAAGAAAGAGGACGAATAAAAGAAAATTATGTAATATATTTATAAAACAAGAGTTTTTAAAACGACTTAGAGTTAAGACTTGTAAAGTAATTAACACCCATAGTGATCTAGTCTAAGCAGGTACAAGAGCTACCAAGAGTACAACAGGACATAAAAATGCAAAGACACAGCTCCCACCATACGGAGAGAAAAATAGAAGCTGCTGGAGAATTTTTTGTCTTCACCCAATGAAACATCACCGACCCTACATCCAGACTATGCCAAAAAGGCATAGCAAAAGTAGTATCAGTACAAAACCACACATACTGGTAGGCATCATCGGTCAACCCGTCACTCACCACATAATATAAGAATTCAACTAGCAAGAACATGCAATAAAATCACTCGCTTCTTCACCTTTAACCTCTCTAAAATACCTCAGAATTACACTAGTACCCTTACTACCAACCACCACCTCAGTCTACCTACTTACTAGGTTTTTAATCATAGTCTAACCGTTCTAACTAATAGAAGGGTCCACCATTTCAACTACCCACATTTCGACTAACCACACACGACATACCCTTGCCTTCTCTTCATCTTACCAGTCCCTGCCATATGACACCTTTTATCAAGGCCTCTCAACTATCAACCACAAATTCCTTTCTTTCACAGTGAAATCTACCTAAGTATTTTCATTATGTACACTACCCCCACTTCTCACCTTTACAGCACACGGACAACCTTTTCTCTCACCATTAACATTCTTGCACCGTTGGCCCTTCCCTGTTGTTTCAACAACGAGATACCTAATGAGTTAAATCAACACAGTAGAACAACATATATAGGTCATCATAATCATTTAACCCTTCAGGAGAAATACCACTTCAATTATCACTTAAGAACACGTACAACTTCATAATTCTCAGGATAGACAATTATGTCAATTCATGGTCCTCTCATGGAACTCGCATCCAAACTGTTAGTGTATCGGTGCGTGGTATCCATTCCAAGTTAGTGTGTCGAATCGTGAATATTTATGCCGGTACGTGGTAATCGATCCCATGTTTATGTCGAAATGTGGCAACCGATCCCAATTAGTGTGTCGGAACGCAACATCCGATCCAATCAACAATCCACAATCAAAATCACAATGTATATTCCTACCTTCATAAAATCAAGTCATGATTCATGGCATACCTCATTTAATTATCCTCATATACGATTAGTGTGATCAATAATGCAACATTCGCATACATACAAGCATTATAACGAAATAATTACTACCTACATCACACTAATATGGATTCACAACATCACAATGAAACATTCATCAACGCACATTACCGAAATAATAACTCGACCGTATCTAGCCCTAGTTCATCGTCTAAGGTTTCTTCCTATGCTCTAAGTCACCTTCTACTCGGTGCACGAAGGCCTATACATAATTCTTGCCATTGATTAACATCATACTACGCAGTGAGCACATATTTATAACTATTCAATTAATAAACCTAGCCTACCTGGCGCCAAGATGTTGCACGGAATTATAGCTCAAATTCAATTTTTGGGCGACAAGACGGTGAAATTGGCCAAGAAGCCACAAGTCATTGATCTCCTTACATCGGAACTCTCTTCCTCCTTCTTTCCCCAGCCTAGGGAAGCTTTTGGAGGGTTTCTGGGAGTGATTTACGTCTAATTTAGGTGTTTTTGGAAAAAGGAGAAAATAAGATTTCACATTATTTACATTCTGCCTCGCCCAACCCGCTCTGGCGGCAACTTACCCTGCCGTGGCGCCGCCGCCCTAGAGACATTTGTCCCGCCCTGGAGGGACAGTGGCCCAGTATTTTCCCGAAGTTTTGTTTTTCCTAAGTAATGATGGTTCGGATCATTACAGTAATCAAATAAGACACCCGTGAAGTTGGAGTGTGTAGTTGGGATTTCGAGTATAAGTTGGGAGGACTTTAGACCATTTTCTCTTTTCTATACAACAAAGTTATACTATAGTTAACCGTTTTTCAATATTGTTGACATGAGTATCCAAAAACATAATGTTTGTTTTAGTTTGACTTATTTTTAAATATAAACAAGTAAAAGAAATAAAGATACTTCTTATTATTACATAAAGTATTGGAAATTCACTTTGAAAAATAATATAAGTAACTAGAGCTGTCAAAAAGGGCCGGTCCAAGCCTCGTGGGCCAAGAAATTTGAAGGGCTAGGGCAGGCTGGCCCTTCATTCAGAAGGGCCTGAAAATGCTCAACCCAACCCAACCCTAGAAGGGCCGAGGGTTGGGGCGGGCCAATCCTTTTTTTTTTCTTTTTCTTTTCAAACTTATAATTCTATAACATCAAGAAAATGAGAAGAATTTCAAATCAAATATGGAAAACAATGGTGTTACTTTAATAATACTAGCAAAAAGTCTAGTGTAATTAGCATGTATCTCGCATACCAGCTACACGAGCGAGATAAAAGAGTGACAAGCAAGATTGGAGGGAGGCGAGGGCACGAGATTTGCCTATGCATCCTAGATAGATGCGAATCTACTTAGATAGAGTGTATCTAGAATAGATTAACCTAATTTTGAGTCCATAGATTCCGAGATACATCTATCTGGACGTACCAAAATCTGGTAAGATTCATAATATTACAACATAGCGTGTATTTAAGTAATTTGATTATATACTAGTGAGATTATTGTAAGTTACCCTTAAATAAAAAGTTTTGTCCCATGAGCCGACCCTGACCCCGCCCCGATCAAGCCTCAAGGGTCAAGGGCTTATAAGCCCTAGTGTTAAATGGGCTTGAAAAATCCTATCTCAACCCTACCCTAATAATGGGTTGGCTTGGGCCAGCCCCATGGGCTATGCTCGTTTTGACGGCTCTATAAATAACAATCTAATCCGCATTACCTCTCCAAATTT